ATATAGATACAGTCATCACTGACATTTCATATTCCTTGCAGGGTTTTATTAGACTTCCAAGGATCAAGGAATTTTTACTAGAAAAATGTACTATTTCAATGGGCTGAAAGTGAAACACTACCATGAAGTCAGGGTCAACTTGTCTGACAGATCACAGGCCGATATGAGGCAAAATCCCTGGTGTGGCTGGCATATGCAAGCTCAGAATCAAAGGGTGGGATTTTAAAAAAAGCTTCAGTGCCTTTGAAACATTTCACCCAAAAATCTAACTCTGCCTGGATTTAACGGGCCTGATTCTCCCTCTCTTACGCCAGTTAACACCATCGATATCAATGAAGTTCTTCCTGATTTACACCTATGCAAGGGAGGGGAGAATCACAGCCTGGGGGCCTGAGTCTCATTTACCCCAAGACCCTTTACACCAGTCTGACGACATGAAGAGGCCTCTGAGTGAGTGTAGTAACAACTGGTACCCACTTCAAGGCCTCTGCACTGCCAGAGCACCATAAAGGAGCCTTAGGGTAAACAAGACTCAGGTCCAATAGCTCCATTTATATCGTCCATTAGTAACTGATGGCAGCTGCATGGGACGTGTGACAGACAGTTTTACTGCAGCTAGGGTGGAATTAAAAGCAAGCCAAACATCTCTCCCTGCCTGGTAAAGTATTGATTGGATAAATACTGCAATCAGGTCTCAGGGGAACCAAGCTTTTAATCTCAGTTACTTATGCTTCTATTCCTCTCGGTTTTCAACATTAAAAAAACCAACAACCTCAGATCTGACAAAGGGGGGGAATGGATCACAGACTGAGATATCAGAGTAAAGCTCTAGTCAGTGTTAATGAGCAGATCTGCAGGAAGACACAAGGTGCTGAAGATCGGATCTGGATTTCTCATTTAAAATTCCAGCAAGAATAAAATCTCAGCTCCTGAAACGGTATCAAAGACTCTGCAGCCTAACTCTAAAGCTCTGTGCTGTATATCCAAGTGTCGATATTGTACAAGAAACCTTAGTAAAACAAAGAGACCTCGCTTGGAGGAGAGGGGGAATCGGATCTCACATCAAAGAGCTTCTCAAGCTGATAATGAAGAGAGTATTACCTAGCTCCAAGCAGTCTCACCACTCTACTTCACAGGATGCAGCAAGCTTGATGTCAGCAAACCAACATTTTGCCATTTCGAAGTCAAACAAAATAAACTCACGGAGCCAGATTCTGCTCTCAGTGGCACTGAAGGTTAATGGGACTGACTGAGTCTAGTTAGAGGCAAGAGTTAATTTTTACTTGCTCTTTGGTTGTTTTAGATACTATGCAGGAGAGCAGTATCTGCAATATGGCTCTTCCTTGCCATGGCAATTCAGATTCCACCTGTGGCATATGTCAGGGCCAGCCAGCTTCCTGGAGAATTAGCTAGATGGCTCCTGAGGCTTTCAGTTATTTTCTTTTCCCGTAGAAGATTATGGTTGGAAGAGACCTCAGGAGGTATCTAATCCAACCCCCTGCTCAAAGCAGGGCCAATCCCCAACTAAATCATCCCAGCCAAGGCTTTATCAAGCCAGGCCTTAATAACCTCTAAAGATGGAGATTCCACCGCCTCCCTAGGGAACCCATTCCAGTGCTTCACCACCCTCCTAGTGAAATAGTGTTTCCTAATATCCAACCTAGACCTCCCCCACTGCAACTTGAGACCATTGCTCCTTGTTCTGTCATCTGCCACCACTGAGAACAGCTGAGCTCCATCCTCTTTGGAACCCCTATCAGGTAATTGAAGGCTCCTATCAAATCCTCCCTCACTCTTCTCTTCTACAGACTAAATAAACCGAGTTCCCTCAGCCTCTTCTCATAAGTCATGTGCCCCAGCCCCCTAATCATTTTCGTTGCCCTCGGCTGGATTCTCTCCAATTTGTCCTCATCCCTTCTGTAGTGGGGAGACCAAAACTGGACTCAATACTCCAGATGTGGCCTCACCAGTGCCAAATAGAGGGGAATAATCACTCCCCTCAATCTGCTGGCAATGCTCCTACTAATATAGCCCAATATGCCATTGGCCTTCTTGGCAACAAGGGTACACTGCTGACTTTTGATACGGTCTCCCACAGTATTCTTGCTGCCAAGTTAAAGAAGTATGGGCTGGATGGATGGACTGTAAGGTGGATAGAAAGCTGGCTAGATCATCGGGCTCAACGAGTAGTGATCAATGGCTCCATGTTTAGTTGGCAGGGCAGCAGTTCTGCAGAAAAGGACCTAGGGGTCACAGTGGATGAGAAGCTGGATATGAGTCAACAGTGTGCTCTTGTTGCCAAGAAGGCTAACGGCATTTTGGACTGTATAAGTAGGGGCGTTGCCAGCAGATCGAGGAATGTGATCGTTCCCCTTTATTTGACATTGGTGAGGCCTCATCTGGAGTACTGTGTCCAGTTTTGGGCCCCACACTACAAGAAGAATGTGGAAAAATTGGAAAGAGTCCAGCGGAGGGCAACAAAAATGATTAGGGGTCTGGAGCACATGACTTATGAGGAGAGGCTGAGGGAACTGGGATTGTTTAGTCTGCAGAAGAGAAGAATGAGGGGGGATTTGATAGCTGCTTTCAACTACCTGAAGGGGGGTTCCAAAGAGGATGGAGCTTGGCTGTTCTCAGTGGTGGCAGATGACAGAACAAGGAGTAATGGTCTCAAGTTGCAGTTGGGGAGGTGTAGGTTAGATATTAGGAAACACTATTTCACTAGGAGGGTGGTGAAGCACTGGAATGCATTACCTAGGGAGGTGGTGGAGTCTCCTTCCTTGGAGGTTTTTAAGGCCCGGCTTGACAAAGCCCTGGCTGGGATGATTTAGTTGGGAATTGGTCCTGCTTTGAGCAGCGGGTTGGACCAGATGACCTCCTGAGATCCCTTCCAACCCTGATATTCTATGATTCCATGACTCATATCCAGCTTCTCGTCCACTGTAATCCCCAGATCCTTTTCTGCAGAACTGCTGCTTAGCCATGAGCCTACAAAAAAATAAAAATTAACTTTCCCTGCATCCACTAAACTTGGAAAATATACCTTTAAGCCCAGCTCCATATAATGGCAAATGCCTAGCTTGCCAGCCAGAGGAGAATGGAGAAAGAATTGTGACTCGCAGAGGTCCAGTTCACTCTCTCTGACCCCTGCTGTATTGATGAGAGGTGGGCGTCTGGTATTCTCAAACTCTTGTTCGCCGTTACGTTTTCAGCTGTGACATCATGCCACCTTGTGGACTCTGCATAGATCTAACAGGAATTGCGAAGTCAAGAGCAAGGACACTAGAGAGGCACCGTTTTTAGGGGTTCTGAGTCAGACACTGAATTTGCTTTCATCCATAGTGTTGCTAATGGAACAGTTACATTAAAAGCACCTTGCTGAATAAAGGCCTATGTGCCTGATTTTTATTTCTAAACATAAAGCCTGTATTGGCTGCTATGATATCCGCTGCAGACTGCCAGTAAGAGCTATTGAAAAACAAGGCTACTGCTTCTTGGTACATTCAGATTTCCTAAGAAAAAACAACGAGAAGCAAACCCTCAGTTGTGCCAGAGCACATCTCAGCAGAGTCAGGAGACAGGCAACAGTGGCTCTAAAAGCCACGTTTCTGCCTCCTCCCCCTCTGATCCTGGGGCCGGACCGGGGTCTAATCAGCCTCCCACACAGGTGAGAGTATCTGCCAGGAACCGGGACAACGGCAGGCAGGGACTGATGGAGAGTACTGCATTCCTGCCAGACCCTCTTTAACCCCTGAAACAACCCCTCCAAGCCCTATCCCACTCCCTATGCTGGGCTGGGCTGGGCTGGCACAGAGCCAGCTATCCCAGGTTTATAGCTACCCATTTAGGATAGCTTTAAGGTCAGTGCTAAAGGTCCTTAATAGCACAGGCCAGGATAATGATCATTATTCTTCCAACAGCGGAAAAATAAACAGCAGGTAAGCCCAATGGAAATCTTCCTTTTGTACACTAAACAGGCTATTTAAAGACAGCATTGGAGATCTAGCTAGTCAATAAAAGCCTTTAATTAGTCTGCCAAGTAATCCCACTATGCCTCTCCAAGGCAATGGTAGAAATGAGTTTACCTGCGAGCGTCCTTTCAGCGACACTTCGGTTATGAACCACCCAGGCCAAGGTTTTTATTTTTTCCAAACAGGGGCTTAAATTTAGGAAACAGAGCCCAAGAGGAGCCAAAAGCAACCGGAGAAACCACAAAAATTAAAAAAACGACCTTGAACTATATACTGTGTCTTGCATTTTCATTAGGGGCCTGATCCAATCTTTCCACTGACTTCAGTAGATTTTGGGTCAGGCGCCAGGTGCAACAATATTTCGTATTTTCCCATTTCTGAACAATTCATGAACTCTAGTCTCCCTTCAAACAGCCTGATGTTTCATGCCAACCACCAGACAAAGGAAAAGAAATAGTTCCCACTATTATTGCTACTAAAATGAGATGAAGCCAGCTCAGGCTCTGCAGTTATTCACATTTAAAGACTCGCAAAAATTATACAAACAAACCCTGAAGAAAAGCAGGACAATGCAGTCTAATCTGAAATGATCTCTCTCGTTTTGATGTGAAAGCCCCTATGCGCCTCTTCCCAAGCTCTATAGAATACACAATTCAGGGGTCCCTCTTAAATATTCAGTTGCAGTAACTGGCTGGCTTTGTCCCTGCTCTTATCATTACATAGCACTCGTAGCTTGTGACACACCTTTGTTTCCTTTTATTAAAAACTCTGGCCTCAAACCTGCAGAGACTAATGCACAGATTTACCTTTTATGCACGGCAAGTATCCTCATTGGGACTACTAATTGACTTTGCAGGAGTGCATTTTTTTATGTACTTTGGGAGCAGAGAAAAGCCCATTCACCATTGTGACTAACAAATAGGAATTCAATAAACCGCATGGTCTATTTTAACTGTGACTCAGAAACCAGTCAGTGAAGGCACAAGCAAATCTCTTATTTTAAAACCAGCCGTTAAATTCATCCCTTACCTTCAGCAGCCCCCTAGGGAAATCTTTGCCTTCGTTCATTCCCTGAAGGTTGGAAATGAATTCTTGGCAGGTCATCTTTTTCCCAATGTTCTGGAAATCACCAAAAGATACATTACAGAAACGTACAATCAGATTGGTGCTGTTGTCCAACAACAGTTAGGCTTAAGAAAACCATATCTGGATGGATGGCATCTCCTTGCTTTAGTCTGAGCCCAAGGCAGGCTGTGCAGAGAAGCATTCCCAGAATTATACAGACATTGATGCACGTACGTCTTCCTAAACCCAGCAGGAAAACACACAAGAAATGTGTGTTAATAACCCAGCCTCCCGTTCAAACAATGGATGTTAAGTAGTACACAAACATCATAATGAGGATGGAGGTGGTGGTGGGGTTTCCTAGCACTTGCCCTGTGCTTTTCATCCACAGATCTCCAAGCATTTAACAAAGGGTGGAGTTATGTTCATAGAACTTTAAGGTCTGAATTCACAGAAAGCTGGAGCCATGTTGCCAAAGCTGCTGCCCAGAAGCTGGGAAGAACTTCTTCCACCAGGTTAGAAACTGAAACTTGAACTGGAAAATAAAGCTCTGAATTAAACCCCATATTTCTAACCCTAACTTTCGGTGACTCCCTGAGGTTGGGGCTGCACTGGCATTTCCAATCCAAAGGTCCTTTTTTGGTTTATAGCAGGGGTGGGCAAACTTTTATTTGGGCCGAGGGCCACATCTGGGTGGGGAAATTGTATGCAGGGCCAGGGCAGAGGGCTGGGGTGCGGGAGGGGGTGCAGTGTGCAGGAAGGGGCTCAGGGCAAGTGATTGGGGCAGAGCAGGGGTGTGGACTGCGGGAGGGGGCTCAGGGCAGGAGGTTGGGGTGCACAGGGGTACAGGGGTGCGGCAGGGGGGCTCGGGGGCAGGGAGTTGGGGTGCAGGAGGGGTGCAGAGTGTACACGAGGGGGCTTAGGGCAGGGAACTGGGGGCCAGAGTGCAGGAGGGGTTCGAGCTCCGGCCTGGCGCTGCTTACCTAAAGCGGCTCCGGGGTGGCAGCGATGTGCACCGGGACAGGCTCTCTGCCTGCCCTGTCCCCAGCCCCGCGCCACTCCCGGAAGCACTGTGGCCCCTGGGGGAGGGTGGGGCGGAGAGCTCCGTGTGTGCTGCCCTTGCCATGCCTCCAGATACCTCCCCCAAAGCTCCCATTGGCCGCGGTTCCCCATTCCCCACCAATGGGAGCTGCGGGGGGCGGTGCCTGGAGGCAAGGGCAACGCACGGAGCCCTCTGCCCGCTGGCCCACCCAACCGGGGGCCGCAGGGACGTGGTGCCGGCCGCTTCTGAGAGCAGCGCGGGGCCCACAGCGCCATGGGGGGCAATCTCACGGGCTAGATCCAAAGCCCTGAGGGGCCAGATGCAGCCCACGGGCTGTAGTTTGCCCACCCCTGGTTTATACTCTCACTTGCACGCAGGTGATCAGCAGCAGGGTCAGAGTACCCAGGTAACCCTGGCCTGGCTGTGAGCAGCCACACTGCAAAGGCCCAGCCAAGTCACTGTGACCTCACTGGTGCTGCGCTCCCCCGTGTGTGTCACTAGGACTTCTAGGGGTATAGCCCATGGTTCTTAGCACTACAATAAGCTGAGCCACTTTATGATTCTTTCCCGGTGAACTATGGAAGAACTTGTGTGTCCATCCGGGTACGTGGGAGAATCGTGAGAAGACAGTGAATCACTCACTACAAAGTGGGCAGGTTACCACCCTGAGTTAAAGCAGTGCTAGCCTATACCCCCAGCTGGGTTGAAAGCACCAAAAAACTCTGATGAGAAGGCTCCATGTGCAACAGGAGCTGGGTGAGGGACAACACGTGAGGAAGAGCCCGGGTTAACTCTGCTGTGCAGACAGGCCCTGACAGACTGAAGGAGCTCCATCTATTATACAAGTTATGGACTTTTAAGTCTACATCATCCCTTGTTCTTTGTGCCTGCCACTCACCAGAGCACACGGGCAGGGAGAGGTGAGGAGTGGGCTGAGCCAGGATTCCACCCCCACCACATCACCTAGCAATGCTGATCCAACAAGGAGATGCTGCACTTTGCTACTGTATAACCCAGCAATAAATCACTCCCCCTTCTGACAGAGCAAAGGGGCGACCAGGAAGGAACTGTGTCATCAGAGGGGTGTCTGACCTACACTCTCTCCTGGAGCAGAACAACGTACACACCAGCCCCCAACCTGGCCCTAACTCCTGGTTTTAAGCTTCGAGAAACAGCTCTGAACGGGTGAGGTTTTAATTTTAGATTTAGGCTTTTGCTGCTACAATCAGACCCTAAAATTACAATTCATTTCCCCACCTGAAGTGGGTTGCTACCCATATTACTAGGTTCCTTCTTAGATCTTCTTTTCCAGCACATGGTAACTGAAGTAGCTTACTCCAGTACATGGAAAGAGGATGAACTGCAGCAAGACAGGGAGGAATAAAGGGGGTTCATTAGATCCATTCATTTACTTCTTTGGTAGGCTTCACTGCATAGCAGAGACATGCGAACAGGCTGGAACACTACACTGGAGTTAGAAAACAGGAGTTACGATGTGTGCAGAAGAGGCTGCATTCAAAGTTATAAACACCCAACTTACCACCTATAAGGGAAATGCAAAAGAATAAAAGGATTACAGGTGATCCAAGGAAGGAAAGGACAAGAGAAATACATGCAGGATTCTGTTACTTGTTATGGCAGCCGCTCTGTGTTCTCTACACTTAAGACAACATGGTAATAACCACCAGTCACAGAAACCTGCAGGGTTACACAGTCTTACGACACACAGACTCAGCTTAACCTCAGCAGCAGTGTAAAGGGATAGTCTCCAACTAAACAACGGGGAAATCTCTGGGGCACATTCCTGGAGCTTTATTTTTACTCAGGATGAGTGCTGCCTTATTCCTTGAGATGTGCCATCAACTTCAATGAGACTCCTGAAGGAGAAAGGCACTGTTCTCAACATGAGAGGGTAGCGGAATGTGGCTCTCTGGGAGTAGAGTTTGCTTGTAACTATTTTTCCCTTACAAAATCTGGAGGCTGAGATCTGCAAAGCCACTTAGGGACTTTGGACTCCCACTCCCCATTAAAAGTAATGGGAAATGGATGTTGAAGTCCCTCAGACAACTTTGAAAGTCTTAGTTGTAACTTTTATAAATTCCTTGGAGTTGCTCTGAAGTCTGTAAAAGGGGCAACCTCCTTTCTTGTAAGAGCCACCCCGAAAGGTTCCCAAATGTTTGAAGGACAGCTCTGCCTTGCTTCGGTTAGAATATCCCCTTCCTCATTAAGAACCCACTCTGGGTCGGTCCCTGGGGTGCTTTAAGGCAGGTCTCTATGCATTGTAAATACATTTTCTGAAATACAAATTAAACAGCCACATCAAACCAATGTAAGGTTGTATTCGTCCCACCCTACCCCCACATCTCAGCGCCTGATCACATAGCTCCCCTCCCCTCGGATGGCGATAGGGCGGCTGAGGTACAGTTTGTGTCCATGCGTTAATTTTAACCTGTAGGGCACAGAGTGGCCATCTGCAAGGGTCTGCTGGAGCAAGGATAACTCAGGCAAATGCCAGTCCTTCTCTGCCACCTAGCGGCTATGAGTAGAATGGCACTGAACGAAAAGAGGCTAGAAATTGTGGTTAGATTCTCCCAGGCTCTTACACTGTGTCAAGGAGTCTTGCCCTCCCTTGAACAAATGCCTGCCAGAATTGTTCCTTCTAGGTGACCAGACAGCAAGTGTGAAAAATCAGGACGGGGATGGGGGGTAATAGGCGCCTATAGACAAAGCCCCAAATATCGGGACTGCCCCTATAAAATCGGGACATCTGGTCACCCTAGTTCCTTCTGTGCGCCAATGGGAAACAAGAAGACACCCCCCCACCCCAAGAGGCAGGGAGGGGGCATGGCCACAAAGTGAGACCACCAAGCAGGGAGTTAGGGAGGGAGTTCGCTGCACCCATTGTAGGGATGTGGCTCCCCCTGGGGGCTACTTGCTTCTCGGAGGGCAGAATCCCTCCTGGCACTCCTTCGGGAGAGGGAGTTCTGCACTGCACTCAACGCGGATCGATGCCTAGCAGGCATGGTAGAGCCCTGTATTACGTCTCCAGTTAAAGCATCACTGTGTTATACCTTTTCTGGCTTTATCCAACAAGGAGAAACTCCACTTCCCATTGGAAATGGGCATGGAATCCAGATTTCCACAAGAATCTCACTCTATCTCTGTATTGCCGATACCATTATCTTGGAGAGTAAATTACTCTGGGCCTGATGCTGCAGTCATTCACACAGGCAAAGCTCCTACTAACTTCAGTGAGGTTTCACCTGCATGACAGACTGCAAGGTGGAGCTGTTGTTGGGTAGCATTTGCTTTTGTGCAAATGCATGTGTTTTCTGGAAACGGCATATGCGGAGTAGTTCTTACTCATGCAAGCCAGCCGGCGGACGCCAATACTCCTGAGGGTAAGTGCTAGTCCACGTAACTTAAGGGGTGCAGAATTAGACCCTAAATGTGTAGTGGAGACTCCCAAAAAATGTGCAGCAAACGGTTAAAATTCAGAGCAGTCATATCTCACCATGAGCACCTACAACGGGGTGCTTAGAGCACTGAAATATGTTATGTAGTCTCCTACTGCATCAAGTGCGCCGGACACACCCTTTGCCTTATTTGGCTCATGTGTGTTTTCACATCAGCTGCAGAGGATACTGAATGGATGTTAACTGTGGTCACTTCATCCAACAAGCTCCCAGTTCATAACTGGCTGCCCAAACCTCCCCATTTCCTCCCAGGTTCTTTCTCCTCCTCCCCAGGATAGCAAAGCCCCAGGGAAGGTAGAAGCCAACAGGCACTGCTGCTGCCGGGCCAGAACAGGCTGCTGTCGCCAGGAAGAGCAACACAAAGGAGGATGAGCATCAGGAGGAGGAGAGCTTTCAGTTCCCCCACCCAAGGGATGGGCAATGCTGCAACTGGGGTAGTGGGCACAACCCTCCTGGAGGTCGGGAGGGGCATGCAGGGAACCACACCCACTGTCACGCCCCTTCTGGGGGTGCAGCCTTTTCCCCCCAACAGGATCTGTTGGCCAGTTGTCAGACGACCGCCTTTGAGCTATCCCATGGAGGAAGCAGTATCTGTGCTCTGGGGAGCATAAGGACTGCAACTGTATCCAAGCACACGGGCGGCGAGGATGCCTATGCGCCTTGTGCTGCTAGCAGAGCGGCCAGTGGCAGTCCTGCTCCCAAGGAGGAGCACCGTGCAGAACAAGGAGCGCCCGAGAGGGCTGATCTGCGACCAGCACCACTTCCTGAAAGCTCAACTTTGACCGGCAAGCACTTCCTGAAAACAAGGGCAGAGCATGTTCTTAGCATGTGCACTCACATGGCCATGTAGGTCAGTGTTCAGCAGCATCACTGCACAGGTGAGACAATGGACTCCATCTGGGAAAAGAAACAGAGCAAATATCACACACAAATAGGGTGACCAGATAGCGGTGTGAAAACGCGGCACTTTTTTTTTGGGGTGGGGTGGGGATATAGTTACATATATAAGACAAAGCCCCTAATATTGGGAAGGTCCTGATAACATTGGGACGTCTGGTCACCCTACACAAACTCACACTACCCAAGACAATGTATTTAAGATCAGCTCAGATTGCACTAGGACCCTGCTCCCCAACTTAGTCTGTCTCTGCCTTTAAGGGGAATCTGCTCATCAAGTAACACACAGAAAAATGCAGGAAAATCAATCTAAAGTCATTTAACGAAAGTCAGTTCATCTCATACTTTCTTTCGTCTTTTATCACCTGACAAAACCGTCTTGCAGCATCGACTGATAAAATAAAGTAAAAACCACACTTTCACGGCTACTTTGCGGGTATCAGTACACCAAATGGAATCAGTTCTTTTTTTTTGCTCATTAGGGCCAGAACTGAAAGAATAAACCCCCTGTCTCCTTGCCTGGGACACCACTGACCTTCCAGCAAGGAGATGTTATAGCCTCTCTCAGTTTGGCATGTCTGGTCTTCCAGAAACATAGTCCTGAACAACATGAGCACATACTATTTCCCCGCACAGGACCCCTGACTCCTGAACTGCTTGTCTTAGACTCGGAATGAGGCAGGGCTGCACAATGAAAGAGGCTGCTGGTGCTCACAGGACCCCAGCCTCACACGCAGCAGACGCTGCCTGTTGTGTAGGCAGTGTGGCAGGGATCCATGGGAAGAGGCTCTTGGGGTGACAGCACTGGATTAGAAGCCGGAAGAAAAGGGTTCTCTTTCAGGTTTTGCCACTGGCTGATTATGTGGCATTGGGAAAGTCACGTAGGCCAACTTTTGCAGAAGCAGCCACTGACTGTGTTCCTCATTTT